GTAGATTTTGAAATTCTTTTTGGTGAGCTGGAGTAGAATTTTTGTTGCGAGTAAAGATGGTAAAGAAACTTGTATCAAGATATTTGAATTTGAGAGAGATAGCAGGTAGGATAAGAGTTTGAATTGGTTTGGTTTGTAGTTTATAAGTGGTAAGTTCTTGGATGCTTTTAGGTGTTTTTAAGACTATAGCTATACGTTGAATAGGCTATAGTGATTAGTTGAAAAGAGTATATTGTTTTTCATTTATGTTATTGATGAGTATATTAGTCTATTCATCGCTGTCATTAGTTATAGTTTGATGAATATCATTAGGGTTAGAATTAAGATATGGGTTTTGAGTTACTTCGGCATATGATAATTTCTTTGTTAGTAGAATATTAGCTAGTGTCTGTATATCTGGGTTTGATGATACTTTAACTATTATGATATCGTGTATACAGTAGGAGGAAGATGATATAAGTCACTCAATGAGTTCATATTCAGTTTGGTCTGCTCAAAATTGGTTTAGAAGGTCTGTTGTATCACTAGGTTCGATATTCATCTGTGTGTTTGTATTTGTATTTTGTGTATTATCATCATTATTGAAATCAAAATTAGTTTCCATTTCAGTCTGAGTTTTAATAAGTTGTATAGTACTAGTCTCTGTGTGTAATGTATTACTAGTTTTAGGAGAGGGAGTACGAGTATTTGGTGTAGTTGTAGGCGTAGTATTGAGAAGTACAGCTATATCATATGGCATAATAGGAAGTGCAAAGTTTTGTTTGTGGGCATTAGTTTCAAGGTAGTGGTTTTTTGTATTTTAATATGTTTGGATAAGTGATGATGATTGGGTTATGTTAGTTGTAATATTAATGACAGTAATATTAATTACGTTATTGGATAATTTGGTAAGAGTAAAAAGTAAAGCAAAGTTACTGTTAGGAGTTGTATCAATCTAATATTTTGAGTGAAGAGTAATATTTTCAATGATAGTTGTTTTGTAGCATTCTTTGGTGTAGAGTTGTTGTTCGTTTGAGGAGGGTATACTAAAAGTGATTTTGTAAGTGAGGTTAGTTGCGTTAATAGTAGTTAGGTCAAGAATTTCTTTTTAGTGTTTATGTCGAGTTTGTATATTTTTGGTATTAAACATAGTTGTTGACATTGTTGTAGTATTAGAGTCGTGAGTGTTGTTGTTGTTGTTGTTGTTATTATTGTTGTTGTTGTTGTTTGTTATGTTAGTAGAGTTGGAGGAAGTCACTGTAGTAATATTTTTGAAGAGGTGATGCCTCTTCTAAGTTTTTTCTATATCTTTAGGTATAGTGAATTTGTTGTCAGTTGTTTGTATTGTTAGTTTGTTGAAAGGAATTAACTTCCTTTTATTTAGAGTCCTTCCTGGAGGAAGGTTTTCTTTGTTTTGTATTTTCCTTTTATTTTCTATTTTGTGCAGTATTGTTGTGATAAGTTACAGGAAAGAGTTATTTCCTCATGTCTTATTTTTATTAATTGTTATTTTTTATTTATATTTTATAAATTATCTTATAAGTTGATAATATCTTTAGATAGTATTATTAGAACCAGAATAGTCTTGTGATCATAACAAGCTATAATTTTAGAAATTAGATTAATAGTTATTGAGTAATTAGTATTTAGAAATCCCTATTAATATTTAACTATATTTAACTATATTTAACTATATTTAAATATATTTAACTATATTTAACTATATTTAATTATGTTTAGCTATATTTGATAATATTTAACTATATTTAATAATATTTAGTTATATTTAATAATATTTATTTACATTTAACAACTTTTAAAAAAAGATATATAAACCCTACCTTTTCTCCTTTTTGTAAAGTTAGATTTGTCTTCTACAATCTCTTTAATATTAGAATGCTCTTAGTATAGATACTAATAGATAGTCTTATATTATTAATATTATATTATAAATAAAGAATACTCTTTGCTTTAATATAATCTTTCTAACAAATTATCTTTGTAAATTAATATCTCATTTTGATATTATTGAGAGTCTTTCTTCTATATCTTATGTTACTTGTAATATACTAAGAAGGTTATACCACTTGTAACAGAATAAATAAATAAAAATTCTAGCTATTTTTATTATAAAAATGCAGTACAGAACTAGGAAGTATGCTAGTAACTTAATTTATTATGTATATAAATAATTAATATGATATTATATTTTCAATAAAAGTTAGTAATTTTTAAATTCTTCTCAAATAGAAATAGTTCGAAGTCAAATAAAAGAAATATTAAACTATATAAAAATAAAAGAAAACATATTATATAATTTGTAAAATTAAAAGTTTTTTTTTAGAATTTATTTCTTCTATATATTAGAAACTAGTAATAAATATAAAGATTTATAATTTTTTAACTATAATTACAATCACTACATAATTATCTATTTATTAATATTATGGTATATTAACCTTTGCATATCTTGTTACTCAGTTAAATCAGTAGGTAAAAAAATATTTGAGATTTTACTATTTTATTATGGTATATTTGTAAGATTTAGATATTAGTTTAATGTATAAAATGCATCATTTATTATTGACTATTTCTTATTATAGATCATATAAAAAATATAAAACTTATTTTTCCATATATTATAGTATAAGCTATTTGTTTGAACCCTAAAATTATTATATCTAGTAAATTAATTTATACTTTAATAACTCTTTTTATGATTTAACAACTTGTCAAACTAATGACCTCAACTTTAAAATTAATGAGATTTTGTAGTTAATAAAATATGGTCTAGTGCAAAAAGATTGATATACTAATATTTATATAAATAAATTTTTAAATTTTTATAATTTATTTATAATTTTTTTTTTATTAAATAAATAAAGTTTTAAGATATTATTTTATATATTTTAATTATTTTTTTTATAAAATACTTTTTTTAAAAAAAATTTTTTACTACTTTCAATTTTTTTAAAAATTTTTTATTTTTTTTAAAAATATTAAAATTTAAATATTTTTATAATTTATATGTAATTTTATAAATTTGTACTAAATAAATATATTGCTATACTTATATTGAATATATATTTAAAATTTTAAAAAAATTGAATTAGTAGTTATTAAGAAATAAGTTTTTAAAAATTATAAATTAATTTACTATATTTTACTAATATAACTTAGTAAAATTATCTAAAATTAATAAAAATAGTAAATTAATTTAAATATTTAAAAATTAATTTCTTAACAACTACTAATTCAATTTTGCTAAAATTTTAAATATATATTTATCATAAGTATAGCTATCTACCTACATAGTACAAAGTTATAAAAGTGTATATTAATTACGTAAATATTTAAAATTTAAAAATTTTAAAAAAAATAATTTTTTTTTTTAAAAAATTAATAGCTTATAACCTTCTTTATTTAATATAAAAAACCTAGAAATAAATTAATCAAAATTTAAAAATTTTTATATATAAAAAAATCAACTATTAGTTTTGGTGTATCAACCTTTTTGCACTAAACTATATTAAGGTTTAAAAAAGGGCCCAAAAAACAAAATTGGCGAATACTATGATCTACAATAAGAAATAGTCAAAAACCATTAAAGAATGACGCACTTTATACGTTGGACTAATGTCCAAATTTCACAAACGCGCCGTAATATTAATATGAAACAACTTTGGAGATACAGTATTATATAAACATTTCTAGAATAAATAGAATATATGATTTTTTATTTTATTTTACGTAGTACTTTAGCAAACTATTAAATTCGACAACAATTGATATAATAAAATTACTAAATTGGTAATAAAAATCGTACAATTTTGTCACGTAAAAGGAATTTAAAAAAATTAAACGTAAATGGTAATTTAAAATAGTCCAGGTAAATATTGAGCATTATAAATTCACTTACCCGAACAGAGAAAACACATGCTGGTAATATCGTACGATTCTTTAAATTATATAAAAATTTATAAGAATAAACAATATGGTCAATTGTTTTTATATTATAAATTTTATTACAAAATCGTGCGATTTTAATCTCGTAAAAGGAGCTTAAAATTTAAAATAGCCCCTCAATTACCCATTTTTACATTTATATACAGTTTTAACATTAATCTTATTAATATTAAAAATAAATTACAATCATCCTTTTTCTATAATGTATTGTCGATTCTAAATCAAAGAATTACAATCATCCTTTTTCTATATTAAATTGTCAGTTCTAAAATCAAAGAATTACAATGGTTAAATTATGTGCATGTCTGAAGTGTGCTTACTAAAAATACCCTTATAAAAATCTTTTCATAATATCTAACACTGTATTCATTACTTCCCCGTTCCTGGTTTCGCGCAACTGCGTTGCGCAGCTACTTATTTTAATAATATAGTAAATATATATTAAACCGATTTAGCAAAAAATGTAGCTTTCAATGAAGAAATAGGGTCAGAAAGCGAGCAACCGATAATGTCGCCTAGACCACCATCTTCAATAACAGCAACCTCAATTCCGTATCCTTCAGGTAGGTCTTTTGCGTCTGGTACTAGAACTGACACTGATGTATTAATTTCGTTTCCTTTTAGAATTGGACATTTAATTCCCATAGCAGTACATAAATCTATAGAAAATACGTCACCTATTGGGAGAACAAATGATGCATCAAGGAATGGAACCACCAATTCATCATTTGAATTTGCGGGTACATCCTTGTCTAGTTTTCCAGTAAGAGTAACACTGACATTTTTCCCAGGAGTAAGTAATAGGATCAGGTGAAAGAGTTATAGTGAATTGGGATACAGGCAAATCTAAACTGCATGGTCCAAATTTAGTGGCGAAGTTGAGCATTGACTATTGAAAGCGTAGCCAATAAAATGAATACCAAAATAAAATTTTGCTTCATGATTGAATGT